TGGTCTGGTCATGGAGGTCGCTCGTACCTCCTTGAGCCATGCGGCTGCCCCCCATTTTCTGTGGCCGTTTGCAGTCCGATACGCTGCGCATCAGCTCAACCTCTGGCCCCGTGTCTCCTTGCCCGAGACTTCTCCGACACTGCGTTGGACGGGAGAGGCTGGCGATGCGTCGCGTTTTCGGGTCTGGGGATCCCGAGCTTTTGTCCGCGACACGTCCGCGGACAAGCTCTCCCGTCGCGCTGTCCCCTGCGTCTTCCTTGGCTTTGTCCCGGACGCCCCTGGCTGGCAGTTCTACCACCCCACCTCGCGTCGTGTCCTGGCCTCTCAGGACGTCACTTTTGACGAGTCCGTCCCCTACTACCGCCTCTTCCCCTACCGCACTGCCCCGCTCCCCCCCCCGCCTCTCTTCCTCGCTCCAGGTGCTGAGGTACCAGACCCCCTCCCCCCTCAGGGTGCCGCTCCCTCAGGTGTGTCCCAGGTAGACCCGGGTGAGCCTGTCGAGGTAGCTGTTGACTCTCGTCCTGCTAGGGGTGCTGAGCCTGGGGGTGCTGCGTCTGGGGGTGCTGAGCCCGGGGGTGCTGCGTCTGGGGGTGCTGAGCCTGGGAGTGCTGAGTCTGGGGGTGCGGAGCCTGGGGGTGCTGAGCCAGGAGGTGCGGAGCCTGGAGGTGCTGAGCCTGGGGGTGCTGAGTCTGGGGGTGCTGAGCCTGTGCGTGCTACACCTGGAGGAGCCCTCTCCTCCCAGCAGCTGCAGGAGAGGTACCTCGAGTACTGCCGCCTCCGGAGAGGTGCTGCTGGAGCTCGTCCCGGTACTTCCCCTCCTACCCAGGAGCTCCCCCCCATTCAGCAGATCCGCGAGTGGTACACACGGCGCTGCAGTCTTCGGAGTGGTGCTCCTGGTGCTGCGGACCCTGGGGGTGGCGCTGCTGCTGGTGCTGAGGACCCGGACGTGGGAGCTGCTACTGGTGCTGCGGACCCGCCTGGTGGAGCTGCTGCTGGTGCTGAGGACTCGGACGTTGGAGCTGCTGCTGGAGCTGAGGACCTGGGCGGTGGCGCTGCTGCTGGTGCTGAGGACCCGGACGGTGGAGCTGCTGCTGGTGCTGAGGACTCGGACGGTGGAGCTGCTGCTGGAGCTGAGGACCCGAGCGGTGGCACTGCTGCTGCTGCTGAGGACCCGGGCGTTGGAGCTACTACTGGTGCTGAGGACCCGGCCGGTGGAGCTGCTGCTGGTGCTGTGGACCCGGACGCTGGAGCTCCTGCTGGTACTGAGGACCCGGCCGCTGGAGTCTCCTCTGCTTCCGGAGACGCTGTGCGACCGCGACCGTACTTCGTACCGCTCCTTCAGCAGGTTCTTGGGCAGACTCCTCCTCCTTGTCCTCCTCCCTCCGTAGAGTGTCCTCCGCCTGTCCAGCCGCAGTCACTGTTACCACCTACCTCGCCTCTCCCTGCTCCCTCTCCTTACACTGGTCCCACAGGAGGTCTTACAGAGCGTCGTGAGCCTGAGTCTCGTCCTGCGTCGCCTGTTCGTCGTGCTCGCACTGGTAGTCGTGTCCGTCGTGAGCGTCCTCCTCCTGTCCCAGGCACTCACTACATGACTCTGCGTCCCTCTACTGCTCCTCAGCGTGTCCCTCTACCGTCTCCTCCTGCTTCCTCTTTGCCTGACGTTCCGGACCCTGAGTCTGACCGGTATCGTGCTGAGCACCCTACTGTCACGCGTCTCCTTGCTACTGTTGTCACTGACCCTACCTTTGAGTCCTCGGCTGCGTCTGCTCTGGTCACTGAGTTGGTTGACTTTGCTGCTGCCTGTCGTCTAGACTACGCTGCTAGCCTTGTTGCCGAGTCTGAGTCTGAGTCTGTCTGTCCTCCGTCCGTCGGGGGTGAGTGTGCTCTTGGCACGGACGTCCTTGAGGACAGGCAGGAGGAGTTCCAGTGTCTTGCTGCTGCTTTGCCCCGTCTCGTGTCCCTGCTAGTTGCCCCTGAGGGAGACCCGGATGCACCAGACATCCCGACCCCGCGCACTTACGCTGAGGCGATGGCGGGTCCCTACTCCTCTCAGTGGCAGACAGCCATGGACGCCGAGATGGCTTCCTGGAAGTCCACACGCACCTACGTCGACGAGGTTCCCCCTCCTGGGGCGAACATCGTCAGTGGCATGTGGATTTTCAGGGTGAAGCGGCCGCCGGGTTCTCCGCTTGTCTTCAAGGCGCGTTACGTGGCTCGAGGCTTCAGTCAGCGAGAGGGAGTTGACTTCTTCCAGACCTTCTCCCCCACCCCGAAGATGACCACTCTTCGGGTGCTGCTGCACATAGCCGCTCAGCGCGACTACGAGCTTCACTCACTTGACTTCAGCACTGCTTTCTTGCAGGGCAGCCTGCACGAGGAGATCTGGCTGCGCCGCCCACCTGGCTTCACTGGGTCGTTTCCTCCTGGTACCCAGTGGAGGCTTCAGCGGCCGGTCTACGGTCTCCGCCAGGCTCCGCGTGAGTGGCACGACACACTGAGGACTACACTTGCGGCTCTTGGGTTCGCGCCTTCTACAGCTGACCCGTCGCTGTTCCTGCGCACCGACACTTCGCTGCCGCCGTTCTACATCCCCGTGTACGTCGACGACTTGGTCTTTGCCACTGCTGACACTGCAGGACTCGCCCACGTGAAGTCGGAGCTGCAGAGGAGACACACGTGCACAGACCTGGGTGAGCTGACAAGCTATCTTGGCTTGCGGATCACCCGGGACAGAGCACGGCGCACCATCACCCTGACTCAGTCACACATGGTGCAGCAGGTTCTCCAGCGCTTCGGCTTCACGTACTCCTCGCCTCAGTCCACTCCTCTGCCTACCGGTCACTCGCTCTCAGCTCTGCCTTCGGATGAGTCCGTAGAGCCGAGTGGCCCGTATCCAGAGCTTGTGGGCTGCCTCATGTACCTGATGACCTGCACTCGACCTGACCTTGCATACCCTCTTAGCATCCTTGCACGCTATGTCGCTCCTGGCCGTCACAGGAAGGAGCACATGGATGCCGCTAAGAGGGTGTTGCGCTACTTGTGCAGTACGTCGGGCATGGGGCTTGTGCTTGGAGGGCGAGACCGAGTTGTGCTCACAGGGCACTCAGACGCTTCTTGGGCAGACGACCAGGCCACTCAGCGGTCGTCTCAGGGTTACACCTTCAGCCTTGGCTCTGGCTCAGTTTCTTGGCGCTCTACACGCTCTTCTTCTGTTCTCGGCTCCAGTTGCGAGGCTGAGATCTACGCTACAGCCATGGCTGCCCAGGAGCTACGCTGGCTGACCTACCTGCTGACTGACCTCGGAGAGCCGCCTCGTTCTCCTCCAGTACTGTACGTCGACAACAAGGCTGCCATTGCCTTGTGTGAGGAACACAGACTGGAGCACAGAACGAAGCACATCGCCCTGCGGTACTTCCTTGCTCGAGAGCTGCAGCAGCGCAGTCAGCTTTGTATTCGCTACGTGGCCACTGAGGCCAACACTGCTGATGTGTTCACCAAGGCGCTTCAGCCTCGTGACCATCAGCGCTTCTGCACTCTACTAGGCCTTGTGCCTACTGGACCTCACTTGCTTACCTCTTGACTTTGCTTGTACTGTGATCACTATATATATCTATACCTGCATGTTTACTCTTGCTAGGTTGTGATCACTGTATCTCTGGCTCTGTTATAAACCTGCATGTGAACTGGTCTTGTGACCACTAGCTTGTGCTCGGAATTTGTGTGGAATCCTCGAGATCCACCCTAAGCTTGTTGTTGCCTTGCTTTGCCTTGACTGGTCTTGTGACCCCTAGGTCTCCCCCACTTTGCCTATGGGGGTGTGTCAAACATTATACATGTTGTATTTGTGTAGGCTGTAGTGGGTTAGCCTATAGGGGGGTCACAACATTAGGGTTTCATATTTGTACTCACAATCCTTGCTAGTTCATCATTCCAGACCGAAATGCATCTTAGCTGCATACTGTTAGCCTCGGAGTCTCTGGGTGCCATTCAAAATACCCGGAAACGCGAAAAGGGTGTCTGGAAGAAAAATGTTCGCGCGGTGAATTTACCGCGGGCTAGGTGTACTGCTATTGCACGCCGCAATCCTCAAGATAGTAGGTTATTCTTGGTCGAGATACGTCGACGTCATGTAGCTGGCAGCTGGAGCCTGATTTGTTGGTGTACTGTGGACTCTTACTCTCTTCTGTCCGATTTAAAACAGTAACGCAAAAAACGACAGTTTCCACCGCCGGCGGTTCACGTGCCTCGTATCACGCGACAACCGCCTCACATTCCACACTCATGTGACAGGCCGAAAATTCGGGAGGGACATCACATGCTAACTACTGTATTGTACTTCATACGATACATTATGTTGCCACCTCCTATTGGACGGTTTCAAGTGCGATGCTGGCTATCAGTCTACAAGTAGGCGAATGCAATGATTCCGGTACCCCTTCTCGTGAGTCCACTTGGCCCACACTTCGGCGCATCCTCGGTCACTCATCTCGTCACCCCAGCTGGCCTCGTCGCACACCTCCCCACTCGGGTCGCCGGCTGCGCGCGTTTGGGGAAGGAATGCGGCGGGAAAGCATCCCTCGGATCGGATGTCAAGACGAAGCCCTGTCGAGGCGGCTCACCGAAGGCCTCGGAAGCCCACAGCCTGCTAGGGGCGGAGACCCACAGCCTGCCGGGGGCGGTGAACCACAGCCCGGGGGCGGAGGCCCACAGCCCGGGGGCGGAGGCCCACATCCCGGGGGCGGAGGCCCACAGCCCGGGGGCGGAGAACCACAGCCCGCCGGGGGGGGAGGCCCACAGCTCAGTGAGCTGAAGCCCCGGCTCACAATCAAGGCTCGGCTCTTTGCTCGACGGTGACGTCATTCCGTCCGTCAAGACTCCCCTTTGATCTTTAAGTTCGATATACGCTTGCAAGACACAGAGTCATGCTTTCATCAGTTAACTCTGCCGCTCAAAGCTAAGCAGCACCATCGCTCTCAACAACCGCAGCGTCGACGCCACTGATGCCGCATTCCTCTGAAGCCGTTGACTCATCGGCCTCCCAATCCGCGTCGCCCGGCATGCAGCCATGGTCGCAAGAGGTGGGTTGAGAGAGGTGGGTCAAGAATTTCAAGATCCGCCGGACTTGAGCTTGAAGTGAAGTTCAGAGTCCAATGTTGTCATCCCTTTCTTGTTACGTCGGACAGGTTTCTACCTTTGCGCGTCAGGACACACTCAGGGTACCCAATGCTGAGATGGGAACTCCGCACTCACTCTCTCTTTCCCTTTGCTACGCACTGGGTGCACAGGAGGACGCGGTGCTGCTGCGCCACGCGCTGCTGCTTGTCTCAAATCGTCTCCATTCTCTCCCCCCCTTCCCCCCCACTTCCCCCCTTTCCTCACGGCAGGAGGACGCGGTGCTGCTGCGCCACGCGCTGCTTCTTGTCTCAAATCGTCTCCATTCTCTCCCCCCCTTCCCCCCCACTTCTCCCCTTTCCTCACGGCAGGAGGACGCGGTGCTGCTACGCCACGCGCTGCAGTGCGGCATGAAGCAGTGGGGCGAGCTGGGGAGGAGCGGTCAGCTCAAGAGAAGCAACAAGTCGTGCTGTAACCGTTACATCTTCCTCCGACGGTAAACCATGCTTCATGCCACATTCCTGATTTCTTAAATTCGGGTTTCTTAATAAGCCTGAGCATCATTGACACGCCTCAGCCTTAACACCTCTCCTCTCCTGTGCCCGTGTGGTGATGACAGGAAGTTCACAGACCACTTTCGCCAGCACTTCCTGCTAAAGCACCTGGGAGCTGCTGCATTCTCCCAGAATACTTCATACAACCAACACACTCAAGATTTGAAGCAGCAGCAGCAGCGTTCCGAGGGCGTGGGATCAGCTGCGCTCGCGTTCGGAGGGCTGTCGTATGAGGAGTGCATGAAGGCGTTCCTCGCCCCCAATGCTCGCTGCTGCCTCCCACCAGCCCCACCCTGCCTCTCATCCCTCGCCACCCCTCCCTCTGCCTCCCAAGCTCCTCTTGCTTCCCAGTCTCCTCTTGCTGCTTCCCAAGCCGCCACCTCCACTGCTGCACCTGATCGTACCACCAAGTTCGCACATGAAGCCTTCCCCGTCGCTGCTGCCTCCACCGCCGCTGCTCTCCATCGTTCATTGAAGCGGCCAAGAGACGACTGCTCCGGTTGGGGAACTGACCAGCCGCCGCCGGGTGGACGTGAAAGCCATTTGCTGCGAGGCAGGGTGGTGAAAGGCGGGGTGGCGTGTAGCACGGAGCGCCGGCTTGAGTCGGTGGCAGAGCAGTTCCAGCAGCAGGGGGAGAGCAGCTGCATGCAGGCAGAGGAAGAAGCCCTTTTGGAGGCGCTGCTGCAGGAGGAGCATCGCCAGCAGACGGGAGGAGCAGGGAGCAGGGCGCAGCGGGTGTTGTGGCCGCGCGTTGGGTCGGAGAGTGCCCTTCTAGACGACGTGCTGTTGGGGTGCAGCGGCGACGAACCTGCCTTCACGCAATGTGCTGCCCTGTCTGCTCCTCCGCCCACCCAGCCACACGAAGCGCTGCCAGCGCCAGTGCTGTCCCAGCTCGCTGCTCTGTCTGGCTCCGCTCCCTGCATTGGGGATTTCGCATTGCTGCCAATTGAATGGCCCTGCGTTGGGTCGGAGAGTGCCCTTCCAGACGACGTGCTGCTGGGAGTCTGCTGCGAGAACCCTGCCTCTGCGCAACGTGCTGCTCTCTCTGCTCCTCCGCCCACCCAGCCACTCGCAGCACCATTGCCTTCGCCTTTCGCTGATCTGCCTGGCCCCGCTCCTGGCAGCGCGAGCAAGCGCATTACAGCGATGCTTGCTGGGAGTGCGTGTGGCACACAGGAGTAGGAATACGTGGATGCATGCGTTTATGTGCTCGGCAATGGAAACAACACTGACAACATAAACAATACCAACAACAGGGACAACAGTGACAGCGATGTCAAGAACAGTGACGACAGCCGTGCTCTCTTTCTCGACACGCCCATGGCCCACCTGCTGCTGGGTGGGAGTGCCCTTACTGTGCCCTTGTCCAGTGGTCCTCAGGTTGAGGCGCCTGCAGCACCGGGTTTTGCTGGGACAGCGCTGCCAGAGTGGGCGGTGGGGCAGGGTGGGGCCTGGGAGAGGGGTGCTGAGCAGCACAAGCAGCAGTGCTTTGTCACCCAGGAGGCCACACGCGTGCAGTGGAAGGACTGTGAGTGCCTAGAGCTTGAGGGTATTCTCTCGCTGCCACCGCACCAGCCACAGCTGCAGTTACAGCCACTACCACAGGTACTGCCATGTCAAACATATATGCTGCTTATTGTGTAGGCTGTAGTGGGGTAGCCCATATGGGGTACAACCCAAATTAGGGTTTCCTACTTGTACCCATCTTCCTGCTAGTTCATTCATTCCTGCTGCTAGATTCTAACATGGTTTCAGAGCACTAAGGTCCGTAGGACCGTTTTTTTTTTTTTTTTTTTTTTTTTTTTCGGGCCCACCTACCGCTGCGGTTACCGCGCTACTGCTACTACTCCTGCTATTAGCAGGTGGCCAGATGCAGCTCCAGCGTCGTTCCTGCGAATCTCTCACGCCCCAGCAGCTTGATGAGTGGTATAGGGTTTGGGGCTGTCGAGGTAGCCGTCGTAGCAGTCGCCCTGGAGCTGGTCAGTTGGGGGCGTCTGGCAGTGGCCAGCTGCAGCTGCAGGGGCGTCCTCGCGAGACACTTACGCCCCGGCAGCTCCAGGAGTGGTACACTCAGTGTAGCAGGTCTTCGCGTACCGTTCGCTGCCCGTACGTCATTCGCACAGGTGTTAGGACTGGTCAGCCTTGCGGGACGCTTGGTCACACACAGTCCCGCTGCTTCGCCCGTCTGAGCGACGCCTGGCGTACCGTGTTTGGAGACGAGGCTGAGCTCCCTGCCTGGCCGGAGCTGCTTGGACAGAGGGTAGATATCTTTGCACTTGACTATGATGCTATTCTCACTGCCATGTATGCATTGCCTACTAGTGTTGACCGTGCCTGTTACCTGTGCGTCCCGCCTGACCCTGGTATAGCGCCTGCTGCTCTCGGTACTGGTGAGGCTGCTGCTCTAGGTGCTCGTGCGTCTCCTGCTCTAGGTGCTGGTGAGACTGCTGCTCTAGGTGCTGGTGAGTTTGCTCTCTCTGGTACTGCGCCTGCTGCGGTCTTGCACACCTTCACCCTTGACTCAGGAGCTTCCCGCTCTTTCTTTCGCGACTGCACCACACTCACGCCGCTCAGTCGGCCAGTTCCGGTCCAGTCCTTGTCTGGGGGTCCAGTCCTTGTCCGGTCCTTGTCCCACTAATCCACGGTTCTGCCTTGTCCGGCCGTCCCGTCTGGCTTCCTGTCAGGTCTTTACCTCCCCTCGTTCTCTACGAACTTGGTGAGTGGAGCTGACCTCCAGGATGGGGGGGTTGACCAGTTCACTCCTGCGAGTCAGCGAGTGACTCACTGTACGTGTGCTCGGACGGGCCGACACTTGGCCACGTTCACCCGTGCACCTGGCTCGAGTCTGTACACACTGACCACTGAGTCCCCTCAGGTAGCTGCGTCTGCGTCTACGTCTGGTCAGCTGGCAGCCCCCTGCGAGTGTCGCGCTTTGTCGCACGACACTCTCCTGTGGCACCACCGCCTTGGTCACCCCTCCTTGCCTCGCCTTCGTGGCATGCACTCTCGTTCCCTGGTTTCTGGTCTTCCCAGGTCTCTGCCTGCTCTCCCTCCCTCGCCTGCGCCGCCCTGCATTCCTTGCGTCGAGGGGCGGCAGCGCGCCGCTCCTCACTCCTCCTCGTTCCCTCCCATAGAGGCTCCCCTGCAGACTCTCCACCTGGACATGTGGGGCCCAGCCCGCGTCCGTGGACTGGGCCACGAGCGGTACTTCCTGCTGGTTGTCGACGACTACACGCGCTACACCACGGTCTTCCCCTTGCAGAGCAAGGGGGACGTCCCTGCTGTTTTGATCCCTTGGATCTGCGCTGTTCGTCTCCAGCTCCGCGACCGGTTCCAGCGGGACTTTCCTGTCCTGCGTCTGCACTCCGACAGAGGTGGTGAGTTCACCTCAGACCTCTTGGCAGCCTACTGTGCGGAGCACGGCATCCGCCAGTCGTTCACGCTTCCGGCCTCTCCGCAGCAGAATGGGGTTGCTGAGCGCCGCATTGGCTTAATCATGGAGGTCGCTCGTACCTCCATGATCCATGCGGCTGCCCCCCATTTTCTGTGGCCGTTTGCGGTCCGGTACGCCGCGCATCAGCTCAACCTTTGGCCCCGTGTCTCCTTGCCGGAGACCTTGCCCACACTGCTGTGGACGGGGAAGGTTGGTGAGAGTACGACGGCTTATGCTTGTTATTCATGCTTGCTTTTATTACCTTACGCTACTGCTAGCTTAGGTTTAATTTCTGCATGCATGAATTGTTTGATTCCTAGGCTAGGTGCTTTCCTATATTTTATTATAGTTATAAGCACCGTGCTACGTCACACCGAATTCGGAGCTATTCGGTTGCCACCGAACTGCTTTCTACCGAATTCGGGAAGGGTCTGTTCGGGACGCTTCGCGACCCACAGAACCTTCTCGTAACTCTCATTTCTGAACTCGCTCCTCGATCCTCACACTTGGTAATCAGAGCTCGTTTACACGCGAAGTTCTTTCGACCGCTAAAAACCAGTCTTAAAAAAACCGCGGGGGCGACGCAGTTAAACATCGATTTCGGGTACGTAAAACCGGTTCCGTGTTTTTCCGCTCCTCCTCGATTCGGTTTTTCGGACGCGTAATGTCAGGCATGGAAGGCCAGGGCGACAACTACGCGACAACGAGCGACGTCGCGAGCCTCCGCACCGACATGGAGCAGACGCAGGCGACGCTTCGTCGACTCGAGGCTTTTCTGACAAGCCATCCGGCGCTCGCCACGACAGCTGTCAAACATTATACATGTTGTATTTGTGTAGGCTGTAGTGGGTTAGCCTATAGGGGGGTCACAACTCTAGGGTTTCATATTTGTACTCACAATCCTTGCTAGTCCATCATTCCAGTCCGTTATTTCTGACATGGTTTCAGAGCAGGTCCTTCGCTAGGACCGTTCTTAGGGCCCACCGTTACCTACATACCTACCTACCTACCGTGCGCCTCGTGCGCCTACGCGCCCTCGTGCGCCTCCTACCTACCGCGCGCGCGCAGCCCGCCAGCCGCCCGCGCGCGACTCGACTTTTTTTTTAGCGCGCGTATCCCGCTAGCCGCCCGCGCGCGGTCGATTTCGCTGCGCGCGCCCCGCTAGCCGCACGCGCGCGGCTGTTTTCTTTACGCGCGGCCCCGCACGCTGCCCGCGCGCTGCCTGTGCGCCTCGCTGACGCGCCCGCTGCTGCAGCCGCCCGTCGCCCGCTCGCGCACACCCCGCCGTGGCCCCGCAGGCCCGCAGCTCGCCGCCGCAGCTGCCGCACGCCCGTTGCCCGCAGCCGCCCGTCCGCCGACGCCGCTGCCGCCCGTGCACCGACGCCGCTGCCACCCGTGCGCTGCTGCCGCTGCTGCTTGCGCACCGCTCGCTGCTGCAGCCGCCCGTGCGCTGTCGGCGCTGCTGCCCGTGCGTATAAGCCGCTGCCGCCCGTGCGCCTCTGCAGCCGCCGCCCGCGAGTCGCCCGCTACCGCTAGTGCGCCGCAGCTCCTGCCCTTCGGTCGCGCACCGCTGCAGCTCCTGCTGTCGCGCTCCCTACTACTGCCGCTCGTGCACCACGCCGGCCCCGTTGACCCTGCGCACACCTTTCCAGCGGCCTTGTTCCTACTGCTACTACTGCTACCGCTACTGTTTCTCCTACTACTGCTACTGTCACTATGGCTAGTCCTCCCGTTCTAGCTTTCGATGCCGAGGGCCGCCCAGTGAAGTTCGAAACCTGGCTAGATGACCTGCACCTGTTCCTACAGCTCACTGCCAAGGAAGATATCTCACTGTACGACCATGCCCTAGGCCATGCCACTGCCCCTGACTCGTCTGCTGACAGCACTCTGCGTTCCCAGTGGCAGACTCGTGATGCGCACGCTCGCTTTGCTATTCGCAACTCCCTGCCGCTAGACGAGCGCGAGCACTTCGGCCAGTGCAAGACTGCTAAGGACCTCTACACCGCTGTAGTTGCCCGCTACTCCTCACCCGCTTCTGCCACGCTAGGCCGCCTCACTCTCCCCTACCTGTTCCCCGACCTAGCCTCCTTTCACACTGTCGCAGACCTCATCACCCACCTTAAGACTAGTGAGGCCCGCTTTCGCGCTGCTATGCCTGCCGAGTTTCTCACTAGCAACCCCCCCCCGCTCTGGATCACTCTCTACCACATCGTCACCCGCCTCCCTGACTCTCTGCGCGCAGTCAGGGATCACTTCCTCTCTCGCTCCCCCACTGAGCTCACTGTTGCCCTCCTCGAGAAGGAACTGCTTGCAGCTGAGGCGAGCATCGTCGCTGTAGGCACCTCTCGTGGCGACCCCCGCACCCCGTTCTTTGAGGGGTGTTCCCCTTCCCCCCTCCTCCCCTCTGTCGCCTCTGCTGCTGCTGTCGACCTTCTTGGTGCTGAGAAGGTCGGGACCGCGTCTGCTTCGAGCGGGCGCCGCAGGAACAAGGGGGGCAGGGGTGGGGGTGGCGGCGGAGGAGGTGGGGGTGGAGGCGGTGGGAGTGGAGGCGCGGCTGGGGAGACTAGTGGCGGCAGTGGGGGAGGAGACAGCAGCGGTGGGAGTGGTGGTGGAGGCGGCAGCGGAGGCGGAGGTGGTCGTGGCGGCGGCAGGGGTGGAGGTGGCCGGGGCGGCGGCGGTGGGGGTGGTGGTCGTGGAGGCACTGGCGGAGGGCAGAGTCAGCAGCCCGCCCCGACGCTTCAGGCCGCCC